CGATGTCAGCGGAGCCAGCGTAACACCGAAAGACACCAATGTGGCCTGGGTGGAGAGTGTTACATTAAGGGAGGCCTAAAATGAAGGTTGTCTTTTGCTTCCCCCCACCCACCCACTCACACGCGACGAGTGTCTTACCCGGAAAAGACTTGCACCTTTGCTTTCAAGTATGCAATTAAAGGTCTCAGCGGTTAATTGCGCTGATTGATCTATTAAGGCTTGCATTCCCAGCGCAGACCTTTAACTTCACTCGTTGGTGTATTAAAAACAAAACAAAGCATGAGTGTATAAGAAAAGCCCTGCTGGATCAGAGCAAAGATTCCTCTAGGGAAGCGCTCTGGATTCCTACAGCGGCCAACCGCAGAGACCTCTGGGAAGCCTGTAAGCAGGGGGCTTCGCCCTATTGTCCCCACGCAACTGAGACTCAGACGTACACTGCCTCCGAACACAAGAGGTTTTATTTTTTATCTCCAGGTTTCAAAGGGACTAATAAGAGTTCAGCTGTTATGTATGGAATCTGTGTCGTTCAAAGGGGTCACCAAAAAAAATATTTCTTTTTGCATTTTTATCTGGCTGTTCCACCAAGGGTGGCCAGTAATGCACACAACAGCTTTGCGAGGTAGGTTAGGCTGAGAGCAGAACAACACGCTGTGAATCTTTGTGTTTCTACGTAACCGCTGGCTTTCACTCCTACCGGGAGTACAATTTAAAGGAAAAGGCTGGTGTGATAGGCAGTGTTCCCTCTAACCTGAGTAAGTGCGAGCTGGCTCACAGTTTTTTAGCCTCCGGCTCACACATTTTTGTCTTAGCTCAAGAAGAATGGCTCCAGAGCAAACTAATTTATGCAGTAGCCAAATAACTTGCTCACAATTCTAATGCCAGTAGCTCACGAAGTGGAATTTTTGCTCACAGGACTCCACAGCTTAGAGGGAACATTGGTGATAGGCTGTGGTCACACACACTAAATAATCCACTTTCAATCCACTTTCCAACTGGATTTTGCCGGTTCACCCTGGTTGATTCTGCATTTGCTTTCCCCTCCGTTGTTTTACCAAATCCACGTTGGAACAGAAAAGGTGCCGCTCAAAACCGCATTCAAATACCCCAGGGCAGCGCCATCCTGACCAATGCTCCCTCTAAGGCGTGGAGTCTTGTGAGCAAAAATTCTAATTTGTGAGCTACTGGCATTAAAGTTGTGAGCGAGTGATTGGGCTACTGCATACATTAGTTTGCTCTGGACAAGCAAAGACAAAAATGCATGAGCCAGAGGCTAAAAAACTGTGAGCTAGCTCACACTAGCTCGGCTTAGAGGGAACACTAATCCTGACTGCAAAGTCACCCCTGAACGGCCATAAATTTATGCAGACAGTACCATAAAACCCGATGATCAAAGAAAGTGAAAGCGGCATGCAGTGTAGAGGCTACCATAAAATCCCACGATCAAAGAAAGTGAAACCAGCGTGCAATGCAGAGGGGGATTTCTGTTCCAAGGTGGGTTTGGTATAACAGCGGAGGGAAAAGCCAATGCTGAAACGCCCACAGTAAAATCCAGTTGGAAGTGCACCAAAAGTGGATTGAAAGTGGATTATTTAGCGAGTGTGACCCTGGAGCCATTTCCCACAAAAACAATCACCGCCGCCCCCTCCACATGAGTGTAAAGGCAGCTTGTGGAGGTGACCTTCAGCAGAAAAATGGCCAAAGGGAAAGGGTTAGGAATCCCCTTGTCAGGGGTCATTTCGTAGAAGAAGAGGTGCAGGAGCTCATTAGCATAACTCATTTGCATATGCCACACCCCCTGACCTCACCGGAAGTGTGTCAGAAGGCAACACCCACCGCTCAGGCTCCACTGGACTGTTTTGGATTGCTAGCTATGGGGGGGGCGTGCAGATCTGTCCTCGCAGGGGAGGGAGAGCTTGTACCCGAATAAAACTTGGTCTTAAAGGTGCCACTGGACTATTTGGGCTTTTTTGGATTGCTAAGGATTGGGGGGGGGGGGCACGTGCAGATCTGTCCTCGCAGAGGAGGGAGAGCTTGTACCCAAATAAAACTTGGTCTTAAAGGTGCCACCGGACTGTTTTTTTTCTTGCTCTGACTGAGGGCTGCCGGGAGCAGGGGGTGGGGCTTGTTGCATGTGCCCGCCCCCTGGGCTCTTCACTGCCGGAGCTCCGCTCCTGTGTGCTCCTGCAGGAAATGACCCCTGCCCCTTGTCCCCACTATGTCCACACAGACACT